GTGACAGTACATTGACTCATTTTGAGACAGTAAAGATTCTCATATTTGGAACGATCGCTTTCCATAGACAGAACGATAGAAGTGAATATGGCTGGCTCTCGTGTTTGGATCTTGGACCATTATTTCGGCAGCGGGCTCAGAGTTCCAGTTACTAAGCAGGTAAAGATAATGGTCTATAGATACTGTTTGTAAAAAAATTGCCCAGGCATGTATATACTGAGAATAACTGGCAATGAGATTGATAGTTTGTAACCAAGAAGCTGTCTGGTTATGGGGCTGGTTCTGGCAATGAAGGATATAGCTGAGAACTTTCTGTCAATGAGCCTTCGTCCCAGAATTCACCACCTCGCTCCTCAAAAAGAGGAAACAGAAGCTGAGAAGCGTCCAGTGAAGCTTTCACTATGAGCGAATCTGTATTTTATCAGTCAGTCCAGGAACTTAGAGGCCAACGTGATAGAAATGATCCGAAAGAATATCTGATCATGGCTTGCTCATTTGACCACTTTCCTTGTAGGGTTTAAAGAATATGATGTAGTATACCACAGGAAAAGGTTCCTAGATCCCATGTGATATCATAGACAAGGCTGATGAAGCCCCATGGAAGATGGTCCGAGCTTTGTCAGCCTTGAATCGCATTTTATCTTACCGATTGCTCCAATACCAACTTCAATTATCAGTTTGGAGTCGAATTCATTAATCATAGAGCAAAGAAGGCATCAAAGACAGATAATCATGGATTCAATGGATGTCGATTCTCGTATCGAGACGCCTCAGGTTGTTGGTGAAGTCGAGGTAAGCCATTCTTTTCTTCATACCCAAGCTCTCTTGGTAAAGCCTTGCGCGGTGTTGACCTTCAGATTTGCACCAAATGTTCCTGCTTGAATTGACATGTTTTATAGTTAATGGATACCGAAACTTCAAACAAGGTTCCAGTTGAGGAACCAGTCGAAATCTCAAATAAAGCTTCAGTTGTTGAAGATTTGGTTGAAGAGCAAACAGAGGAGCAAACAGAAGCCCAGATGGCTGCTCCAGAACCCCCCAAACCTAAACCTTCTGCTAGCAAATCCAAAATATCAAACAACGCTCCTGGTTACAGATATAAATATCCTGAGGCGAAGCCGACACCTCCCGGTGTAGATGATGATAGATGGAATAAGATCTACGTTGCCGCAGATTCTCGATTTTACAACAGAGCCAAAAAGAATGCGTCTGAATCCAGAAAGATTAGACTGACCGGTGAAACTTATCAACTGGCACTCAGAATCTTAAAGGAAAGGGACGAGAAGGAAGCGGAGGCCGCGGCAGATTTGGCTGCTGGCATAGCACCTCCTCCTAAAAGAACGCCGAAGCCCAAGCCACCGCCCCGAATGCCAAAAGCTCCATCTACAAGCTCAAGAGACGGTACGCCAAACTTCAATGATAGAATACCATTAAGCATCTCCGAACAAATCAAGAGTGAAGGTCGTGCTCGAAAGGCGCTGCCATCCTCTAGTCAAGGATCACCGGGGCCATCTGCTCCTAAGCATAGCAGCCCTGTACCTTCACAGATAAAGTCGGAGAAGGGACCGATGCTAAAGAAGAAGAGCACCGTCGCCCCTTTCAAAAAATTCCAGCCCAAAGCAGCCAAGCCCGAAGGTACAGTTCCCACTAGCGCAGATAAAAACATGAAACTTGTACACACTTATTAATACATTTGCACAGGCCCTACAGATGCTAGATCGCAACGTAATAGCGCCACTCCTGGTGGAAGAAGTGGCCCGTCCGACGATGATGGTAGCAACGATGGTGGTGAATACTGTATATGTCGCGGTCCTGATGATCACCGCATGATGATATTTTGTGATGGAGGTTGCCAAGATTGGTACCATTGCTCATGCATCGATGTTGATGTCGAGGACGCGAAAAATTTGCTCGATCGGTTCATTTGTCCAAATTGCAGCTCCGAAACCGAATTTACTACATGGAAGCGAATTTGCAGATACCATAACGTTGATGGATGTCGGAAGGCTGCTCGTGTTATGGACGAGCCGCCTAGCAAGTATTGTAGCGACGAGCACGCAACTGCTTTTTGGGAATTCGTTGCCGCAAAGTTGCGCTCTAATCAAAAACGTACTATAGGCGGTGCATTGAACGAGGAAGAATTTGGAGCGTTGTTGACTTCATGTAAGACGGCAGCCGATTTCCATGCCCTTGGTTCAAGGCCGAAGTTGCCAATACCTGAAGGACACGACCCAAGTCAACCACTAGGTCTCAATTATCTGCTTCCCGAAGAAGAATCTACTATAAACAAGATTAAGGCTGGACGCACAGTGATTGAACAACGCATTGAAGGTTTCAAAATGGCTCAGAAACTTTTGATTATGATGAACCGACGTGCTAAGATCGCACAAGAACATCCAGATGTCGAGGCCAAGGAGATTTGCGGGTACGATAATCGTCTCGCTCTCAATGAGTATGAGTTTGGTGCTTGGTGTGCAAGCGAAGAGGGCAAAGGTTATCTCGCTACTGGTATTCTTGGTCCTCGTACCGAGGAAACAAAGCATCTTGGTGAAACTACTCCATATCCTGGTCAGGTCATTCCGGATACTGGAGATATACCTGACGAACTAAAGAATCTGTGTATTAAGCCCCTCAAGAAATGCAAACATTATGGCTGGCGTGGTAACCATGCAGAACAATACGCCTATTCAACCAAGACTTTGACGGAGGAACTCGCCCGGTTGAGTAAACAAGAGGCATCTATTATTGAGGACGCAGAAACGAGAGAAGCTACTAAGGATTACAATGCTGAGAATACGGTGGAGCAGCTTTTCTAAAACTTGAGTTGCACTTGTTTCATTGCTCTACTATGCTTCGGCTTGTGGCTTCTCTCCAGGCGTATGGGATGGATATCGTTTTCAAGAAGTTTTAGCATATTTGCATTGAAGGGAGAAATAGGAAATATTAAAACACGTACTGGTTGGGCGTTTGAAGGCTTTGGACTTCAGGACATGATGGTATATATACCCAGGCGGAGTTCACGTACCATTTTGAATTAATTCAATACACTTAACATCAAGAAGGTAAATCTATATATCGAAACGATAGTCATATAGGTGATCTGATAACTTCAATTGCAATATATATATATATATATATATATCGTTTTTAATGTTTTGATATCTCAAGTCCAAACCCATCATCCCCCTCATTCCTCACCCATCCACCCAAACACTCCCTCACTTCTTCCTTCGCCCTCCTCCTCTCTCTCAATATACCACTCTCCTTCAAATTCTTATATTCATCCACCTCCAAGCCCCTGCCAATCATCTCCACAATTTCCTTCCCGCCAATCTGCATTGCCGTAATCACGCCCAAAACTTCGAGTCCCAATTTCCATCCTCTTCTTCTACAAACCCTACTAGCACCTTTCACATCAAACTGTTTTCTCCCCTGCAAGGCCCCATTTACCAGCGTTTCCCCGCCCGTTTTCCCATCGCCACGCACCCACGAGGTGGATATATTGCTACTTACATATTCTGTTTTCGCATTGTGAGTTTCTGATCGTCGAGAATATACAAATTCTTTCCCTGTGGTTTTGATACCAATTTCGTGAAATCGATATCGACTCCCTCTTATTCCTTGCTCTTTATCTTGTAGAGTGGATAAACGAGTTTGGAAACACCGCACAAAGCCTGTTTCGTTATATTGCGTTTCTGGGAGGATGAGAGAATGTAAATACATGTTTTGAGGAGAGATAAAGAGGGAGGTGAGAGAGGAGAGAATAGATGTGTATTGAGATGTAGCTAATTTATCGGAACAGGATTTTGAGAGGGTGGGAGGTGCGTCTGGACGCGATGGTTTGCGTCGCACGCGTCCGAGAAGCTGGAAGTTGGCTCGGCCTGGAAGTTCGGGTTTGTTGTCTGAGGAAGAGGTACCAGTAGCTGGCAGATCCCAAGGCGTCGGATCGTCTTGAGATGCCATTGTGAGTTCCATGCTTGCGTCGCCGCAGGGCGCTTCGGAACAGTACATGTAGAGTTTGATGTGGGGTTTTAGTTCGAAGAGTTGGAAGGAATCATGGGTGATGGTTTCTGGAGAGCGTAGTTGGAGGTATTGGGAGGGGATTGAGGCGGTAGACAGGAGAGCGAGAATTTCTTGCAGGAGGAAATGGTTTAGGGTGCGGAGACAGAGAATTTCGGCGTGCCAGTCGTGGAGCACGTTACCTTGTGCTTGGGAAAGTTTGGATTGCGGAAGACATTTCATGCCGGTTCTGAAATGGGATGGTGTTAGGGATGAAAGTAAAGGAAGAAAGTGATATGATGATACTCTATACAATGAAGATGAAGCTCTTGATTGAATCAAAACGTGACTTCACGTCCTGCAAACCTCCCATTGCCTTTATCTTCATGCATAAATGATTGAGGAAAAAGTTCCATTAAATTTTCAATAAAAACTCACGCAAGAGCCAGACAAGTCAATCCATTCTCCCCTACCTCGAATCAGCCTTACCGTACTAATATAACATCGCATTGATCAGAAACCTCCAATAAACAGATTTCTAATCAACATAAGAACCTTCCTCAGAAGTTCACCTACCAGAAGCAACAATCCCACTCAAAGGTACCCATTCCCTAACCCCTTCTCCTCTATTCAAAGGTTTTCTCTTCGTGGGCAATTCATCAAATTGTTTTAATACCACATTTGCGATTTCGTCGCCCGATGGTTCGTTTCTTTCAATCATATCTGTTTTCGATGTTCGATATCATGTATCATCCTCTATATCATGCAGATTTATATGATTATCGTCTGGAGAAGATACGACAGTCAGGGTTCATATTACTTGCAGTAATTTTCGCGTGGGGTAGAAGTCATGAAAAGGAAGGGGTTTGGTTGGCTGAAATCGAATTTCTAGACAGCTCCCCGCAACACTAGGGAATTGATCTAAGGAAGGGAGGGGATGTGTCCGATTATGATTGCCGCGTTTGAGGGGTGCGTGAGACGGAAAAGGAACGTGAGTGCTAGCTAGTGTTTGTTTGTAATTACTTATAAAGGAATTGTTAACCATGATTTTGAGCTTATGATTGCTTTTGCTGAGAGATATTGGGTAGATAAAAAGGGGAGATGATTTCTACAACACTCGAGTAGTTTCAATATTATTACTTCATTTTAACCTCATATAGGGAACACGATTTACAACTTGAAGCTCATCAACCCTGCATTCAAAGCTTCAGTCCCTCTCTGTTCGAGATACTTCACTCCACTCCCATACAAGTATCACATCGCCACATCATTACAACACATAAACATTCAATATATCTATCTCACCATGGATCCCTCACAAATAAACATTCCCCCCATGAAAGATCTTACCATCGACAACATCACTGAAAACACGGTCCGAATAAATTCTCAAGGAAGCGATGAACGTCTCACATATGTTATGGAAAGACTTGTTACACATCTCCATGATTTTGCCCGTGAAACACGTTTGAGTACTAAAGAATGGATGGCTGCATTAGATTTCTTGGTGGGGGTTGGTCAGATATCTAGCGATGTTAGACATGTATGTATATCATTTTCATCCTACATTTCAGTTGGGAGAATACAATTAATGAAGAAAATAGGAATTTATTCTTCTGTCAGATATCCTCGGACTATCTCTCCTAGTCGACGCAATCGACCATCCCAAACCCGCCTCTTCAACCGAAGGAAGCGTCCTCGGTCCCTTCCACACCCACGATGCAGAAGTAATGGCATCGGGCGACAAAATGTGTTCCGATCCCCAAGGCGACCCCTGCATCGTTCTCTGCACCATCAAAGACGTCTCAGGAACCCCTATTCCAGATGTCAAAATCGACATCTGGGAGACAGATTCCACAGGTCACTATGATGTGCAGCACGACATCCGAGACGGACCCGATGGAAGATGCGTGATGAAAAGTGATTCCAATGGAGAATTCTGGTTCAAGGCCATCGTGCCCGTTCCCTATCCCATTCCGCATGATGGGCCTGTAGGTCAGCTTTTGAAATTTTTGAAGAGACATCCGTGGAGACCGGCCCATATGCATTTTATGTTTGAGAAGCCTGGTTGGGATCATCTTATCACGTTAGTTTTCCCACACTAAGTGTTCAACTTGATGTTTCATACTAACATAAAGAAAATAGCGCATTATATCTCCGAGGCGATCCATACGAATCATCAGACGCAGTATTCGGAGTAAAACAATCACTGATCGTAGATTTCGAACCCGCAACCGCTGAGATCGCGAAGAAGTATTCAATTCCCGAAGGATCAAAAGTCTTGAAACACGATTTTGTTTTAGTGAGTGAGAAAGAGACGGAAGAGTTGAGAGATCGGAATGCCTTGAAGGCTTTGAAGGATTTGGGAATGAAAGTAAAGTTGTTGGATCATCTACCTGTGCCAGATCTAGATTGAGTTGTTGTCAAAGGGGTCACGGCTAAGATATGTAATAAGAATCATGAGGGAACGAAATAAATACCACCTTTTTCAAGGAGCTCCAGCTCGTTCTTGTTGATCAAAATCATGAAAATGCCATTCTAATACGTCTGAACTTAGTCGTGGTTACTTTGTATTTGCTGACTGGCATGAATGCCGTGCATTGGAACATCGACTCGAGGAGATGTGAAAGGCTACATAGAGTTTACACCACTGTCAAAATGACAATAGCCACAAAGCTTTATTCGATATCAAAAAGCAGACATTAATATAAGAAGCGAGATTTTCCTACCGTACTTGAGATATTCTGACATGAGATATTTTCAACGTGCGTGATGATCTAACCACGTTACACCTCACTCATACTATATTGGATTGCTATGTACGTGTCTGTATAGCCAAGATTGTACTAGCTACCACAGCGTATGATACTCAAAACGAGTCTTAAGAGATACATGCTAAAATTACAGGTGTCAATAACTATCTCTCCCTACCGTTACCCAAATAAATATATGTACTGTGCGCGCTTCACACTTCTACGCCAAAAACACTAACCCCTCCCTAATATACTATAAACATCCAAACACCGCACGCTTCCCAAATCTCCTCTTCAATCCAATCATTTTCAACCCACTACTCCAACCCCGCAACCCTCCTCGGCCAACTCATCAACCCCTCCCAGCCGCCCGGTAAAATTCCACTAATCCCACCAATCTCCCTCCGCACCATCGCTCCCATCCACCAAAAAGTTTTTCCCAAGTCCAAATCCTCCCCATTCTTCATCTGCAAAGTGATACTATCACTCGGGCCCCCACCCTCCACCAAACACGTAGCCATCGCAAAGTAGTATGCGAAAATTACCAGTGCACGCGGTTGTCTCTCTTCCACCAAATCTATAAAAAGCTTCGGGACTTGCAGTCCGAAGGCTGTGAAGCGGCGGACGGTCGCCATGGGATGTTCGTGCTGCATGATGTTGAGGTGGATGGAGGAGAGGTAGGAGAGGGTTTGCAAGTAGGCTGTTAGATGCGTAGGAGGGATTGAGGGGTCATAGCCCCCGTTCTCAGAGTAATTTTGAGGAGAGATCGAGATGTGAGGGGAGGGATAGGTGAGGATTGCGTTGAAGAGTGGGTGGATCTCGGGGCGGTTGAGCCGTTCTTCTGGTTTGGTGAGCGCGGGCTTGGTGCGTAGAAGTGCCATTGCTTTGGCGTTTGGATCATGTCTTATTAGGCCTAGTGCAACGGCAAATACAGAAGCGGTTCCTCGGGCCATTTGTAACCAATGCGTAGGCAGCGTGTATGGTTTCATGCAACGAATCTGTAAACTGGAAAATGCGTCGTTGAGAATTAGAATCGAGGCAAACATTACTGCATCGGCAGTGCTGGGATTCAAGCTCGCGACCCCTTTTTGATGATGTCGTAATGCTAGGGAAAGGTAATGTTGGCGCGCTCGTTGGATCTCCATATCGTTTGGTGAGAGCACGTGAAGATGTAGAGAAGCGATGGCAAACATGGCGTAGAGAAGGTTCGGAGATGCGAAAGCGAGTTTTGGGACCACCACAGACCACAGATTCAAGGTCTCAGGGTTATGACAACTAGGGAATGTAGGCGATGTGTGGATTATGTAAGTTTGAAGTAATCGTAATTCAAGCATTCGACGAGCACTAGACTCAGGAAGGTCATCGCTGAAAGCTTGGCTTGGGGCTGGCGGTATTGAAAGGTCTACTTGGGGTGAAACTGATGCGCTACTGAAATCTTCAGCTAGAGCGTGTATGCTGCTGTGTTCTGGTGTAGATGGATTACTGGAATTATATTTGATGGTCTGGGGTGATGATGCCGCTGGGGGTGGCGGTGGCGGTGGTTTTGAATAGACGCATCCTAACCTATGCCTTATACAATTATTACAGATAGGCCTGGTTTCATCGCACTGCATTCTGATTAGCGAGGACTCGCAATGGCAAAGTATTTGCAATGAATGAGTCAGATGCAGAGATCTAGTGAATAGGCTTGTATATCGACATCGCCAGGCGCAAAAATGGACTTTCAGTTACGTACATGCAAAGTTAACCCTATGATGGAAGAACGATAAAGAAAATTCTTGAGCAGAAAACTATCTCTGTATCTTATTGTAAAACAAAACATTACATTGTAATATGACAATTAATATCAAAACGTTAAAAACATTGAATCGTCCGTCGTACATATTTCGAGTCAAGTAGTACTCAGGTACAAGTGAACATAAGATTACAATATCTTGGCACAGGACCAACATCAATATTCAATCGTATGAAAAGCCAATCGATAAAAAAGATAAACATACTTTGACACGTCTTGCCTTACATCTTTGACAGCCATTCCTCGATTTCTTATGATACAATCTTGGAGCTTTCACTTTCTTCTGTCCCTGCTTCTGATCATCATCTCCCCCCTCCACATCTGGATGATTCGTATCAGGACTCAGACTATCATGGGAATTCCGGAACGACTGCGAGGAAGACAGTTCCTGATTCGAAATCCGTACATCTGGCCCTGATGCCCTAAAACCGGCATTATCATTGCCACTCACGAAATGCGAATCCGACGCAAAAGAAATTGATCTCGAGTCGATTCCCGACCTCGCGGTGTGAGAGATCGATTCATCGAAATTTCCATTTCGACCATCTCCAGAACGCCGATCTAAACGAACATGCGGATCCGCGTCCATGCTTCCCAGACCAGGCCGTGCCGCGTCTGTTTTGACTGTAAGATAACAGCCCTAAAGCGAACCGTGGCCCACAATCCACGTGTCGAATCTGACGTCTGTTTCCAGGTGCGTCAAAGACCCGTGGGATCTACACCTTATTTTCCGATTGACAGGTCACGCTATGTTCTCTTCTGAAGAAGTATGGCTGCGGAAGGCGCTGTGCAGACGAGCGGGAATCAGCGGGAGAGAGGGTCCGGGGATTGCGGAAATTCGAATTGGCTGGTAAGTGCATGTAATCTCCTCTTGTGAACGAGGAATTGGGTTCATTTGATGGGGTAAAGAGGAGATGTCGTCGGGTTCGGTATCATATGTTCAAGGGTGGGTAGGAGGATTTTTGGGTGCTTTAATGCTGTTTTTGATAATTGTGGTTATTTTGGGTGGCTTACTTGATCTCAGGCGCTGAAAATGACGGCCAAAGTTTAGGGCGGCGGAAAGTGGGATGTGTTTATCCGGGAGCGAAAAATAACCCCATTGGTTTTTGGAAAGCGACATCATTTGCAAGACAAAAATATATGTTTGCTGCTGCAAACTCCCGAAAAACTGCTTGGTCTCCCAATGATATTTGCAAACTTTCGTTTAATTTTCAAGGGCTAGAAAGCCATGGGCAATCAGATTTTGAATGCTACAGTTGGAATTGAACACGGGATGATATTCGTCTGAAATCTTGGGATCACCAAATACATCTCCAGTCCAATTTCATTGATAAAAATGAATATTCGCAGTCGATGTTGGAATAATATGCAGAAACACTTGCATGAAAAGTAAAGTTCCCGTTCCATCTTGTCTCCCAAAGACTTATTAAAGTACAGGTATCAAATAGCTCTGATCCTCATCTCACCCAAATACAAATTAACAGAAACCAGTAGCTCCAGCAAATTTCATAGCGGCCAAGATCACCTATTCATCTCATCATCCCAGTTTCATATATTCATCCCATTGTACTGCTATTATTTCTTGTATATCGTTGCTCTGCTCTCTATCCCGCTCAGAAAAGGCCACCTCCTGGAACGGCCAAGAAAATGACCGTCAAGACGACAGCCACACCGGTACCGATAAGTAAGGATTGCAGGAAAATTATATCTTGTATCTGTCTCAATGCCGGCTCCTGTACCCAAACCTCTCGATCAAAGATTTTTCTAATAACAAATCTCTTCTCGTATTTCTTGACCCAAGGATACTCTTCGTCCTTTCCGCTACAAGATGTATCGTCCAGATACATGGCAGAGTCCTCAGACTCCCATAACTCCCAAGGTCGAAGATGGCGATGATGAAGACCATGCAGTACAACGCACATCCCTCTGAATGCTGCATACAGTGTAGAAATACCCAGGACCCAGAATAATGCCGAAAATGCACGCCATCCTCGGGACATGTTACTGAGGGTTGTAAGAATTGCGTACAGGAAGCCAAAAATAATAAGAGCGACACCGAGACCCTTAGCAAACACTTGACGTGGTTTGTTGCCATTGCAAATACTCCAACGGATAAAATTGGGGTGTGCCTGATGTCTTAAGCTAGATTCAACGGTTTCGACAATGGGTTGGAAGGCAGACGGATGAGTTGTGGTTGAGAGACGCTCAAGAAGAGTATTTCTTTGACGTGAGGATAGATTAAGTTGACGAGAGCCATTGTCTGCAATATATATGGCGATGATTCGATCAATCTCATCACGATAGGGTAGATTAATATCTGGTCATGGGGTAAGCTTCAATTTGCGGAGCAAAGGATTACATCAAATTACCTGGAATTTGAATACCAGCACGACTGAATGTTTGCTGGGTAATCGAACGGTATGAATCTTGTGCTGCTGGTCGAACCTCCATTAATGATCCCCCTTCTTTGTCGAAACCTGTCTCCCAAGGAGCCGTAACCTGTGGCAGAGGATTTATTGTGGTTTTGATTGTGCGGGTAGTCATTGGCCGCTTGTCATCCGCAGCATCATCAAAGCCAACCGCCGAATCATTGTGATGTTCGGATGAACCAGAAACCTGGCGTTCCGAAGAGGCTGTTGCGGGTGGGGTTGAGAAGGGATTGGATGGGTTTGAATTTTCGAAACGAGATGTGTAATCTCGAAACCAGAGGAAGAACTGAAGGTTCTCTGGAGCATGCTCGATGAACTCGAGATAGTTCATAAATTCTCTCACGGTCATTGGCTAAAAATAAGTGGTCAGCAATGTGATGAGGCACTGAGTGTAAGTGATACAGGCACTGTAATCACTCATGACCGGAACATATCGAGTCGGTTGTTCCGGTAAATGGTCAAAACAGAATGGCCCATAGAAATATAATAGAGCTTGGTCTTACAGGGCATG